ACTAGTGGCTTTACAAGAATGTAATTACCATGCTATGTATCCTCAAAAACCCAATGTACCTTCTTGTATATAAATATAAATAAAAGGACCCTTACTCGACCAAGTACTCTCTGGGCTTGCACACATTGTTCCTGTATTGCTAAACTCAAACTGATAATTATTAAGCCATCAACATCAAAGTAGTGACATTGCACGTCACCACTTTGACGTGGTAACTTGCCATTGCACGTAATTAAAGTTAAAGTAAAGTAAAAGTCCACAACTGTACTATGTTTTGTATGTTTTTTTTAATATACGATCAATTATTATTAGTCAATACCCTTAATAGATTTGTTAATGGATATATAGCACTGACAACTGTATAGATAATTATTTAGCTAATGACAAACAAGTACATCAAAGGAGCTTTTAATACAACAAGCAATTGCAATTTTAGTGAAGCTTGCATGTATGGGATCTTGTATGAGATTACTCAGGATCTTGTGCCAACATCAGAAAAGGGCAACAGTAATCAAAGGATCTCTGTAGTACAGTTGGGTTCTTTCTCGACTCAGTCGGGAGTCCTGGGTTCGAATCTCGTGCAGGGTAGAAATGACTCGGCATGTTTCCTTTCATCTAATGCTTCTGTATACCTAACAGTAAACAGGTACTTGGGAGTTAGTTAACTGTTGTGAGTTGCATCCTGTGAAATGGTAGAATACTAGAATGGACAAAGCAAAGGTTAAATGGTCGTTCAAAATGGAAATGAATCTGACTGGAGAAATTTGATGAGTGGAGTACCGCAAGCTTCCATCTTGGGGCCAATCCATTTTTGTCATAAACATCAATGACATATATGGGAATATTGCAATCCACACCATCAAATTTGCACAAGACACTAAGATCTCCAGAAATCTGATAAATCTGATAAAGATCTCTGATAAAGTAAGAAGCGAAAATTATATCCAGACTTTACAAACAGATGAACATGAACTTCTCAAATAGTCGGAAGACTGGCAAATGATTTTTGATATGGAAAATGCAGCACCTTACATGTGCTGCATTTTCCGTCTGGCCAGAAAATTTTCGGGGGGTTATGGGCCGCCTCCGTCTGGTCGCCCCCCAGGCCAGACGGGGGCGGCCCCAGTGCTACAAATCGGCATCTATAGCGCCCCTTAACCCCCCCCCCCTGCAATTTTCATAAAGTCAAATCTGAAATAGAGATTGTGTTTACCGTAGATATATTTAGCAGCGTCAGCGGTTCGAAATATTACATTTTCCGAGAAAGAAAGTGGGGGAGGGGGAGGCGAAAAATGTTTGAATAGAGGGAAGGGGGAGAAAGGTGGTGAAACGGAGATTAGAAAAGAGGGTGGAGAGTTAAGGAGAGGGGGATTTGAAAGTTGAGAGAGAGGAAAAACCTAGGTGCACCCAGGTACCCTATCTTTGCATAATATAAAATCATAATAACAACATGTAATCATATAATGATTAGTATATGATTATGGACTAATCACATGGACTTTGTTGAAACTTTTGGCAAGGTACCACATGAAAGACTAGGAAGGAAACTACAGGCACTTGCAATAAATGGGAGAAAACTGGAATGGATAAAACAATGGTTAAAACAATGAAAACCCGAGTCGTGCTAAATTAGAATAAATCTGACTGGAGAAATGTGGTAAGTGGGGTACTTTTGTCATTATACATCAATGACAGAAAATATTACTCACCACATAATCAAATTTGCAGATGACACTAAGACTTATGGTAAAGTGGGAAGTGAAAATGAGATTGAGACTTTACAAAGAGATCTACATTACACCAGAAATAAATATCTCTTTGATATCCCCAGGGTCAAACTTAATCTGTGTAAACACTCTATGCAAATTAAGGGACCTAGTCTATGGAACTCACTCCCTAGTGAATTGAAAAACTGTAAAACTTTTGCCTTATTTAAAAGCAAAACCAAAAAGTACCTAACTTCATCTATTTAGTTTCCTACACTGAGCTTTAAATTTGCTCTGTACCTAGTGGTACCCAATCTCCTAATTTTTATGTAATATCAAACAACCTTATCTTTGTGTTCATTGCTGTCTTCTTTTATGTGCTAGCCATATGCTGTATTGTGACTACCAATTTTAGTCAACTACCATTCAAGCTGTCATTGCAATCAATCTTATATTGTTTCTGCTGTATTGTGCCTACCAATTTGTTGTCAACTACCATTTTAAGCTGTCATTGCAATCAATCATAGCTACCTATGTGCTTTAATATACTGTACCTATAATTTTCTCTCATCTTTTTTTTTTTTCATTCCATGTAATCTGTTATCATTTTTTTGTCTATAAATTTTGCAAGTATTTACCTCCTTAAAATTTTCTTAGATTAAGGACCTGCCCGAAACGCTGCGCGTGCTAGTGGCTTTACAAGACTGTAATTACCATAATTGTATCCTCACATTCCTTATGTACATTCTTGTATATGCATAAATAAATAAATAAATAAATAAATAAATAAATAAATACATGAACTCCACAAATGGTCATAAGAACGGCAAATTCGTTTTAATATCGATAAATGCAAGACCTTGCATGTGTGGGGCATAATACAATCCACGTCACAACTAGCAAATTAACAGAATTCATTATTCATCATCAACCTTGCAGCAGATTGTCGGATAAAAGGACCTTACCTTGAGGTTACCTTGAGGTGCTTCCGGGGCTTAGCGTCCCCGCGGCCCGGTCGTCGACCAGCTGACCTTTAGAAGAAATTTTTCTGATCAACAGGGGAGCCGGTCGGCCGAGCGGACAGCACACTGGAGTTGTGATCCTGTGGTTCCAGGTTCGATCCTGGGCGCCGGCGAGAAACAATGGGCAGAGTTTCTTTCACCCTATGCCCCTGTTACCTAGCAGTAGGTACCTGGGTGTTAGTCAGCTGTCACGGGCTGCTTCCTGGGGATGGAGGCTTGGTCGAGGACGGGGCCGCGGGGACACTAAAAAGCCCCGAAATCATCTCAAGATAACCTCAAGATATAACATCCTCCAAATCGTTCAGTATTTTAAAAGTTTCAAAAAGATCCGACCTGGTTTATTGTGTTGTTAGCCCCGTGGCTCTCAACCGTTCCTGATACGTGAGTTGACTTAGCACTGGAAGGATTTTTGTGTCCCGGTGTTGCACTTTCTCCAGAGCAGCTGTATGCTTCTGAAGATATGGTCTCCATGCTTGGAGACCGTCCAAATGGGGGCGTACCAGAGATTTATACAATTGAATCACTGCCTTCTTTTACTTGAAGTCAAAGGTACTCTTGATTATTCTAAGTGTTTGTTTAGCCTTTTTAACTGTTGTTCCTATCTGCTATGCAGCTTTCATTGAGTGGTGGATATTGACTCCAAGGTCATTTTCTTCATCAATCTCCTGTAATGTAATATTATTAATTTGGTAGTTGTAGCGTGGGTTGTTATGCCCCACATGCAAGGTCTTGCATTTGTCAATATTAAAAAGCATTTGCCAGCCATCTGACCATTTATGGAGTTCCTGCAGATCTCTTTGCAAGGCTTCAACATCATTATCATTTCCCGCTTTATCATAAATCTTTATGACATTGCAAATTTAATAATGTGGTTTGTAATATTCTCATCTGTGTCACTGATGTATATGACAAAAAGGGTTGGTCCCAAAATGGACCCCTGTGGTACCCCACTTACCATATTTCTCCAATCAGATTCATTCCCATTTAGCACCACTCTTTGTTTTCTTTGTTTTATCCTTTTCTAGTATTCTTCTATTTATTCAATGTGCCTGTAATTTCTTTACCAGTTTTTCATGTGGTATCTTATCATAATTGTAGCGAGTAAATAATATACTCGCTCCAATTTCTCATTAGCTTAATGGCAACTTTCATTAGCACTAATGATGAACTCAAATCTTTTCCCTAATTACAGTTAACATTCCTTCCAACTTATTGGAGGATAATGAGATGAGGTGTATTCTAATCATACAAGCAATCAAGAAGCGAATAACTTTAGGGTTACGGGCTATTCATGTCCGTGCCATCTCTTGGGTGGCTTAATCTTTATCAATCGAATAACCATCAGTATAATTTCCACAGTGATTCAGTTAACTTCAGTACAGACCCTTTGGAGTTACCACACCTCTTCAACCTCAAGAATGTAGCACTCGGTGTATGCAGGTCTAATTGACCCTAAGACGCCCCAACTTCGACATAGAGAAGACAGCAGACTACTACCGCATCGAACTGTCATGCTCTGGGCTTCATTGAGTTCAGACACTCACAGTTCCGCATCGAGCTCCGCAACTCACTCAGCTCTCTGCTCTGCTCCAAGTTTCGTTTCAACGTCTACGACACTGCCAGCAACCGACTGCTGTAACTAAGACAACTAAATAAATATAAAAACTCACTATACACTGTATCTAATTTACCCAACAACGTAACATAAACGTACGTTACACAATCATAATTATAATTATTATCATAACGAACATGATTTAATTTGCTTAGCTAAACGTTTGAGCCCATAAACACATGGAAATAAGCCTTTGTAACCTGTCTGCTACCATTTATAGCGTAGTAATCAAAAGGCATAATAAACCGACATAGAAAATGGTCAGTCGAGAGAAGGTATGATAGTTCTGCCACCTGTTGAAGATGTCGCCACCTGTTGGGTGGACCCAGGTCTGAACACGGCAAGTTGGTACTTGTGTTAACTGTCTTAGAGTAGCCATGGCTAGTGATATAATGTTAATTTGACCTTTATCAACCGTTTTAGGGAATTTAGCTTAACATCTCTCTGTGTTAAGTACTACACAGTTTATATAAAACTGAATACTCATCTTAATTTATACCCGAAACACTGTGGATAATTTATTTGCTTTATAAAATATACAAATACTGTACCTATTAAGTAACCACTGTAATCTGATCTGTACCTTTTGAAATTAAATATTTAATTAATTCCATCACAGCACTTATAAAGTACGATATGCTGATGTAAACAGTGCCAGTGTAAGAGCGTGTTTAGCCCATGACTCCTGATTCAATCCCCCATTGTATAAGTTCGGATATCATTTAGTTGCTAAATGTGATTCGCGTTTCATAGAATACGTGATGTAAAACACCACCACTCAACCCACAAGTGTGTTTGTTGTGACAACAGTAACTCAGGCAGTCGTCGGGAGGAGGAAAAGGTGCACAGAGGCGTGGAGGACAAAGGACGAGGACTTTATTGACGCTAATACATGCATGTTCTTAACCTATTAGGGAAGGATTCCCACGCCAGTATCACCGCCTCGTACTAACAGCAGGTGAGAAGTACCTTAGGGATTATCTCTTCTGCCTCCCAGGGTGTACAGGTGATCCTCACTCTCAGGGTGTACAGGAGATACTCCCCCCTCAGAGTGTACAGGAGATACTCCCCCCTCAGAGTGTACAGGAGATACTCCCCCCTCAGGGTGTACAGGAGATACTCCCCCTCGGGGTGTACAGGAGATACTCCCCCTCAGGGTGTACAGGAGATACTCCCCCTCAGGGTGTACAGGAGATACTCCCCCCTCAGAGTGTACAGGAGATACTCCCCCCTCAGGGTGTACAGGAGATACTCCCCCTCGGGGTGTACAGGAGATACTCCCCCTCAGGGTGTACAGGAGATACTCCCCCTCAGGGTGTACAAGAGATCTTTGCAGGGCGGTCAGTCTGGGACGTCCCTTCATCCCTCTTAGAACTGTCTGGGACGACGCCCTCTCCCAGGAAGGTAGGTCTTGCCTGGGATATGGGTCCTAACCAAACAACTGTCGTGGGATCGTCTTTTAGAGCACCGACATCCTAGGCTGTGCGGTCCGTCTGACCTTGAAGATCAAAAAATCAAATAAAAAAATAACCAGGTATTATCTGGTATTATTATTAGTATTAGTATTCGTAATATTATTATTATTATTATTATTATTAGTAGTAGTAGTAGTATTATATTATTAGTATTAGTATATTATTAGTATTAGTATATTATTAGTATTAGTATCCGACGCCCGTTGCCAAAATTTGCACGGACCAAAATCATATTTCCTAGGCTTGATGTGCACATTAGCGGATATGACCACACGACGCAGTATGATTAACCAAGTGTCAACAAAAGGACAATTTGCTGATAGGAGAAAATAAGGTGATTGGTTCAGTTGATCGCCTCCTTCACTGTTTATATAATATCAAGATGACTGCCAAAGTTGTTAATTAATATAAAAAGTACATTAGAATACAACCGCATATTCGTGATTTTCACAGCAAAATGGACCAATAAGATGTAATCTATGTATTGGTTATCGTCTTCAATATATACTGTAATTGGTGTTTTGAAGAGTTTGTGTAAATAAATTCAATAAATAAATAACGTGAGAGCTTATCTTGCCAGTACCTTTAAGTAAGCAACATACAACGCGAGATGATAACGATTCTTTGAGTAAAATTATAATAGTTGTATCGTTACATATTTATCAGAGTTAGGAAAATAACAGCGCCACCCAGGCAGCTCCTAAGATTAATTCACTAGTTTTATTTCAAACTACTTTAACAAATCTCAACAGAATTTATTGTGAAATACTTACACTGAACTAATCCATATTATCAGGTTTCAATGATAACGCGGCAAGCTCTTAACGATCCTCACTTCCCAGTCACGTACCAGAGGTGGAGATGTGTGCACGTGCCCACGTGTGTGTGTGTGTGTGTGTGCTCATAATACTGCTCTCGCAGTTTTTTTTTATTATTTTCTACCACAGACGTGGCCACACATTTACAATGCTAACCAGCATATATACATTTTCTTCTGTCCTCCATGGACAGGGTGAGAGATGTGTTAAACATATAGTTCAAGGGTTTATTGAACATTCAACCACAGAAGGTGATTCGGTGCTTTTAAAATGCTAAGCTAACCTACATACGTAAATACATAGATACACAGATTTACGTATGCCCTACATAAAGTGTTCGATGTGTCTTTTACATAGTGTCATTAATGTGCATTTACAAAGGTGAAATGTAATTCTGATCAGCTTCCATATATACTTTATACACATACATATACATCCACACACACACACATATACGTACATATACATATATATACACACACATGCATTCACATACATTTGTCTCTTTTACTCTGACAGGATGAGATAGGTGATAGAGAAACTAGTGTGCAATTAAGCACTTAATCACTGAAGGTGATGAAGGTGCTTTTACAAGCTCAGGTTATATAGTTACATCACATACATACATTGTATAATTGATACATTACATGGTTAATCTTGGGTACAAGTCCAATATATCATCAAGTGTTCCAGTACTCATATAGTAATTCTTTCACAAACTTGACACATTGTGTACTCGACACTTTCACAAAGTTGACACATTGTGTACTCGACATTTGGGTTTTGAGAAAGCTGCCAGATACGTCTATATCCCAGGCGTATTCTGGCCACTATAACATCACATTGCCGGGTTCTTGTTCTATTAGTCCCATATGTGAATGTCTCCTCACGATATCTATCATAATATTTAATGCTACAACTTTCCGGTCTTTGTAAATTTGTTAGGTCTGTGAGATCCTCATTAGATATTTGTTTAAGTATTCTGTTTGTCACTGCTAATGAAACACCCATATCAATTTCTACCACTGGTTAGGCTGTCTTTGCAAGCATATCAACAGTGTTATGCCTTGAGATGCCAACATGTGATGGTATCCATAGGAATTTAATTTCAAATCTGTTTTCTTTAGCAGCTAAAACAACAGGTGTACACCGTGCCCCGCTCCTGTGCCAGGTAAGTTACGGGCTCACCATAGCCCGTGCTACTTGGAACTTGTTCCGAGAAGCTGAATCTATAACAACAGGCGTACACGTGCTGCACGCCTCCTCAACACGTTTCCTGCGGAGCCATATTTGAAGTTTACATATTCATGGAGGTGTGAGAGTGAACAACTGGAGGAAAGTTAGTAAACTTATGTGTATTTACTGTCACCTGCAAGCACACTCAGGAGTCATCAGTCACCTGCAGGCACACTCAGGAGTCATCAGTCACCTGCAGGCACACTCAGGAGTCATCAGTCACCTGCAAGCACACTCAGGAGTCATCAGTCACCTGCAGGCACACTCAGGAGTCATCAGTCACCTGCAGGCACACTCAGGAGTCATCAGTCACCTGCAGGCACACTCAGGAGTCATCAGTCACCTGCAGGCACACTCAACAGTCATCAGTCACCTGCAGGCACACTCAACAGTCAACAGTCACATCCTATCAGCTCACCAACACTTATCTGCTCCTGTGGGTCAATACACCACTGTTACTGCTCTCTCGTCCGCTTTGCCCTGATATATATATCCAGCTTTTTCAGTTATTTTGATACAATTTATAACTTTTAATAGCCAAAATGAAGGTGTATTTAATTGCTTTACCATATACGAGTGTAGTGGTAATGATTAGTTGTTGTTCTTAGAGATTCAGGTACTCGGAACAAGTTCCAAGTAGCACGGGCTATGGTGAGCCCGTAACTTACCTGGCACAGGAGCGGTGCCGTCGGTAATGATTACTACAGCACCTATTTTGTACCTTACAGATGTGAGCTGGTGCCGGGGCCAGCAGTCAGCGGGGTGCGTTGCTTTTATCCTGAATTGGTCACGTGAGCGAGAGAGGAGGTAGTTATCATCGTAGAGGGGACTCGTCAATGATCTCACTCATTGCCTTAAAACAACTCAGCGACCCCGCCTCCCAAGCCGGACACAGCAACACGTCATGTCTTCAAGGTTGTACTCAGAAACCTTCCCTCTGTCAGTCTGATACGGTGTAATCCATAGTTTTAAATATTGCCCCGAGGAGCCAGTTTATTGGGCAGCGTCACTCATCCTGTGAGTGGACATACCGCTATAGCGTGACAGTATTGGGCAGCGTCACTCATCCTGTGAGTGGACATACCGCTATAGGGTGACAGTATTGGGCAGCGTCACTCATCCTGTGAGTGGACATACCGCTATAGCGTGACAGTATTGGGCAGCGTCACTCATCCTGTGAGTGGACATACCGCTATAGCGTGACAGTATTGGGGAGCGTCACTCATCCTGTGAGTGGACATACCGCTATAGCGTGACAGTATTGGGCAGCGTCACTCATCCTGTGAGTGGACATACCGCTATAGCGTGACAGTATTGGGCAGCGTCACTCATCCTGTGAGTGGACATACCGCTATAGCGTGACAGTATTGGGCAGCGCCTATCATCCTTTCACATAGCAGCATGTACAACACTCCCCAATAGGAAGAAAACCCGCTGGGTTGTTCATCCTGTCACTTGTACCCAGACACAGCTGGGGCTTCCTTAAATGTCTTAAAGTGAACAGCTTATCGAACAAGAACATTAACATTTGTCAACCACTACAATTTACGTTATCTTGCGGGTGCAAAATGGTGCTGATTGCATTAAACTACTAAGTTAAACACACCAAGTTACTCACACTTTAAAACTACTTTGCTGCTGATAGTTGAAATGTCGTCAAGACACCGGGTAGCTGGTGTCTTGAAGACAATGTATAAATGTATGCCTTTAATTGAGGCATAAATTTAGATCCGGGCTAATAGATCTGCAACCCGTCCTCGACTCAGGTCCATTACATCCAGCGGTCGACCCCACAGACGCATTCATAAATTTTTACATGCTGTTCATTCAAAACAGGAACTGTCTCAAATATAAATAAATATTATAAGATATTAGCATACTGTGCATATATAGTCATAGGTTAGGTTAGGTGTTTAGCTTCTGTTGGCGATTATTTGTATTTGTAGTACGTGGGTGAAGCATTTACAGCGTTGTGGTTCGAACACAAGTCGTCAGTGAAGCACTTGTTCCGGAAGTGTTCGAACGTCATCAGTTGTGAGTCGTGTGTAAACCGTTTTTCATTCATAAACAGGGGGTTTGGCGGGTGCATGGAATCACTTTTGGGTCTTTGTTTGGAGGACGGGCTGATTGATGCACGATACACGGGGGTGTGGGCGAGGGAAGCCGAAACCTTGGTTAATTGTTATCATCAAAACTGGTACAAGATGGCTCGCTTGGCTTGTTAATTTGTTTAACAGTTATAGTTATGCACAATGTGGAATTTTGAAATCTCTTCTGCCTTAAGAATGGTCCAGGACGGACCGAAACGTCGTCGTCCCTTCACCTTCTAGTGTGTGGTCTGGTCAACTCTTCTGCCAGTTCAAGGTGTTTTGTAAGCCATTCGACAGCTTGTTGGTAGTAGAGTCATTATTATTAAAAATAGAGAACAGAGGGCATACATCCAGTATGTGAGAGGAATGCATTCATAATTTTAAATTATTTATTAAATTGTTTACTTTGGCGATTTGTTTTGGCTTATTGAAACTCTGACTGTCAGTTGGTCCTTAATGAGAGCCATAAGTATGTAACCGAGTAGTTCAATAAGCTTCTTGTTATTTATAATAACATATATCAACAACGTTGTATATAAAGTTGCTAAAATATTGACTTACATTAAAGTTTTCGTCTTGGTTTCAGCAAGTTTCAACTGTGGCTGGGTGCAGTGCTGGAGGATGGTCAGCGGGTCATGTACAGAGTGACCACCCTTCTGTACCAGGGCGGGCGTCTCAGCCCTGATCGCTACTGGCAGAAACGTTTTGGCAATGACCTGACCTACAAGAAGCATTTCAATCCAGATCAGCGACTATTATTGGACTCCTGTGACTGGCCTGGATGTTATGACATCGACACTGCAGCCGAAGTCTTTGACATCAGTTTACACTGGGCGGTGCAGCAAAAACTGTGTGGACTGAATCCCTCCATGCCACTTTATAAAAATTTAGCAAATCTTGTAAAAATAAGGAATAACGCTGTTCATTACCCTGATCAGTCTGGGATTTCAAGCGGTGAAGTAAAAGAGAGGCTTTATGAGCTACTGGAAGCATGCACACTTGTCTTGGATAGTCTAGAGGACTATGTTGGTACGGATCTCAGCAGCACTAAAACAGTGTTGCGCAAGAGCATTAACAAGAGATTATATGAGCTGAGCGCAGCTCGACAACCAACGGGCGGAGAGGAGCTCAGCACTATGGGGAAGGTGGCCGTCACCGTCGGCGTGGCGGGAGTGGCCGTTGCGGCTGCTATGGCCAGTCATTTCTCAAATGAAAACAAAAGTCGAAGGGATGAGTCCAATAAGAACAAAACGTCAAGTAACAAGGAAGAATGTAGCGTAATGTGATCAGTGATACATAAGTGTTTTTCTCGCATTGTGGCTGGACGGTAGAGCGACGGTCTCGTTTCATGCAAGTCGGCGTTCAATCCCCGACGGCCAAGTGGTTGGGCACCATTCCTTTTCCTCGTCCCATCCGAAATCCTTATAATGACTCCTTCCCAGTGTTATATAGTCGTAATGGCTTGGCGCCTTTTCCTCTGATAGTTCCTTTTCCTTCCCTTTCCATTATCAATAGACAGGCAGAGAAAGATACAGCATATTGTCTTGTATTCCTCCATATAGTTAAGGCATTAGGTCTTATATACAGTATCTGCAGGTTGGCAGCCAGCATGGCCATATGGAACTTGACTCGCAAGGCGTATTGCGAGTCTTATTGTTACTTGAGACGAATGGCCAGACCACACACTAGAAAGTGAAGGGACGACGACGTTTCGGTCCGTCCTGGGCCATTCTTAAATCGATTGTGAGAATGGACTTGAGAATGGTCCAGGACGGACCGAAACGTCGTCGTCCCTTCACTTTCTGGTGTGTGGTCTGGTCAACATTTTTCAGCCATGTTATTGTGACTTCTCGTCTGCATGTACAACGAATGGCATTATTTCCTGCCAATGTTAACGATATACTTCTAGACGATGACTTAAATATATAAATGTTGGAACACCTCAGAGATTATGTAATAGACGGTAACGAAGGGAATTATCATGGGGAAAGCGCCAAGCCATTACGACTATATAGCACTTGGAAGGGGTCAGGATAAGGATTTGGGATGGGACGGGTGAAAGGAATGGTGCCCATCCACTTGGATGGTTGGAGATTGTCGAACTACATCTCGCATGAAGCGAGACTCTACCGTCCAGCCTAAGTGGTTGGGTTGAACTTGAGCAGCCATTTGTTGGACCATTCATTCAGTTTGTGTAGATCATCTTGTAGCCTCATACTGTCTTCCTATGTCTTAATCCTCATAATTTTGGCATCATCAGCAAACAATGAGACGAACGAGTCTATACCCTCTGGGAGATCATTTACATATATCATAAACAGTATAGGTCCAAGGACTGATCCCTGTGGGGCTCCATTTGTGACGCCTCGCCAATCTGAGACCTCACCCCTCACAGTGACTCGCTGTCTTCTGTTGCTTAGGCACTCCATTAACCAATGGAGTACCTTCCCAATCACTCCAGTCTGCATCTCCAGCTTTTGCACTAGTCTCTTGTGTGGTACTGTGTCAAAGGCTTTCTGGCAATCCAAAAATATGCAGTCTGCCCAGCCCTCTCTTCCTTGCCTGGTTTTTGTTGCCTGGTCGTAGAATTCAATTAATCCTGTGAGGCAGGACTTGCCATCCCTGAACCCATGCTGATGTTATGTTACAAAGTTCTTTCGTTCCAGTTGTTCTACTAGTTTTTTTCGCACAATATTCTCCATCAACTTGCATGGTATGCAAGTTAGGGACACTGGCTTGTAATTCAGTGCCTCCTGTCCATCACCCTTTTGTATATCTTCTTGTATTATGTATAAAACTATACACTCATATATTGTGGTTAATTATGGCTATACTAACAGGATATATGAACAGAGAATTTTAATGCTTATTTTTAATTGTGATTTTACATAATAAATTTTCTGTGAGATGCATAATACTAGCAATTAATTAACCTAATTTATCTTAAGCTAATAGGTAACAGTAATGTACAGTGGTACCCAGTTTACCTGAATTTGCCTGAGGACCACTAACATTAGTAATCTTGATGAGGACAGGAAGCCGACGGCTTGTCAAATGTCACCCTATTTGCCCTGATGATTTTTTCCAGCTGAATTTACCTGAGGGCCACTAACTCTAGTGACCTCGAGGACAGGAAGCCGGCGGCTTGTCGATGGTCCTTCCCCATTTGCTTTGATCTTTTCCAGTTCGTTAAGATGTAAGTTTTGGTAATTACGGCTTCGGCGGGTAGGCGGTTCCATAGGTGCTTTCCTATTCTCAGTCTTACACTGTGGCTTGTTGATCTTGACACCGTTACTCCTTGTTTGTGTTACATCTGACCTTTTGAAGACATTTTCCGGATCAACATCCTCTACGAAGGTACAAACTATTAAATGGGATTTAGTATATATGTTAATGGAACTTGTCATAACTGAAGTTCATTCATTCTAGTTTGAACGATTTTTCGCACATTATCCAAACATGGATTCATACAGGATATAGAAATGTATTATATTATTATTATTTTATATATTTATACAATATGTTGGCATTTTGGGGTACACCTTAGACCGTATCTCTTGCAAATACATCTGTGATTCAGACACGGTAAGACTTTACAATGACACACTTAATTCGTCTTAATCAATGAGAAAATAATAAGACTGCCTTGGAACGACTTCTCGAAGGCCCACCGCCTGGCTCTTATTAATTTGATTCGGTATAAGTGTCTCTTTTATTTAACCCACCCCACTTAATTATGTATTTTATAATTAAAATGTATTTAAAATCTTGTTTCCAATACAAATGAAAAAAATCAATGAGCTTCCATAAGTAGTCATAATAATTTTGTCGATATTCCCTTAATGTTAATGACAATAGTTGTACGCATTTAACAGCTCCAAACGCTTGATTATTCCAAGGGTTTGGTTAGCTTCTGTGGCTGTGGCTGCTGCTCCTACCTGTTGTGCAAGTTTCAATGAGCGCAAGTTTTCTGCCCGAAACGCTTTGCGTAATAGTGACTTTAGGCATTGTATGTAATAGCTCTATCTATAAATTCATCAATATCCCTTGTATGTATGTGCTTTACAAAAATAAACATTTGAATTTTTTGAATTTGAATTGACTCCAAGGTCCTTTTCTTCGGCAATCTGCTGTAATGTAATGTTATTAATTTGGTAGTTGTAGCGTGGGTTGTGGGTTGTTATACCCCTCATGCAAGGTCTTGCATTTGTCAATATTAAAAAGCATTTGCCAGCCATCTGATCATTTGTGGAGTTCCTGTAAATCTCTTTACAAGGCTTCAATATCATTATAATTTCACACGTTACAGTACCATAAAACTTTGTGTCATTTGCAAATTTGATGATGTGGTTTGTAATATTCTCATCTGTGTCATAGTTGTATATGACAAAAAGGGTTGACCCCAAAATGGACCCCTGTGGTATACCACTTACCACATTTCTCCATTCAGATTCATTCCCATTTAAAATGTATAAATCTCTGGTGCGGCCACATTTGGATTACTGTATCCAAGCATGAAGACCTCGTCTTAAGGAGGTAGTTGCTCTGGAGAAAGTGCAACACCGGGCAACAAAAATCTTTCCAGAGATAAGTCAACTCTCGTACCAGAAATGGTTGAGGGCTACAGGGCAAAGCAGACATGAAAGGGCAGGTAATGAGAAGTTTAAAATACTGAACAATTTGGAGGATGTTGCTCAGGACAATTTCTTCAAAAGTTCAGATGTAACAGAAACAAGAAGGAGCGGTGTTAAGCTCAACAAGCCACAATGTAGGACTGATCTAGGTTTGTTTGTTAAGGCTCTGTTTATATGTTCGCTAGATATCCGGGTTTCTTTTTTTTGTATATAGTTCAATTGTTTGCTATGGGTCAATAGTTGGTGTCAAGGGCAAGTGGAGGATTTTAGGTAGGGCTAATGAGATTTTTGTTTGGTCGAGTTAGGAATGGAGTTTGGTTGTGTTCTGGGACTGTTTAGCTTTGTGGGGGTTGGATGAGATGTATACTTGCTAGGCTTACGGTTGCACAATTGGTCGGGGTCTGGTTACACAACTGGTCGAGCAAATATAAACCAAAAATTGGGCTACTCTTATTACAAATTCGCTACTTTTAGACCGTCAGCCCGCTACTTTCAGCAATTTGTATCTGGCAACCCTGTCGAAATGTGGCCTCTAGTAGGGCAGTGTACGAAATGAACATAAACAAACAGGCCCGGGTCACGGGCGATATTTTGGGTGTTGGAAGGTATTGTCCTCTGTTAACCCTTCATGCAAACTGGACCTACTATGAACAAGAAGACAAGATCGTCCTCTGATCAAATCACACATGATCACATATACTGTTGAAACAATCTATCTTTTTCCCAGTAGTAGAGTCGGGTGTCTATGTCTGTTCTGTAGTAAAGGCCCTGCACAGTACAGTCCTAGTGGGGCCTCACCAGTGCTAGTAGATATAGCTGAAGAATGATTTTTTGTGCTGCTATTGCAGGTGCTTCTTATAATAACACTCATTAATACAGTATGTACTGTAACACATGCTTAAGACATTTAAGACAGTACGTACAGTACTTAAGACATACATCCTCACCTCTGTCAATTTATATTGTAGTTATATGTTGATATAAACTTTTGTTTCAATGTATCTTCTCATCTTACCTGATGTGTTAGATTAAGGACAAGCCTGAAACACTGTGCATGTTAGTGGCTTTGCAAGAAGGTAAAAATATACCAATATTACGGACTCTCACAAACTCATTGTATCTGCTTGATGGGGTTCTGGGAGTACCTTTTTGTAAATAAATTATTATTAATATTATTATAATACACCTGTAGTAGAAAGTACTGTATGATGAAAAGTATGTTACCTATGGTATAAATACTTGTAAAATCATATCAAATCATCTTGTATCATTGATTGCAAACTCATCTAATATTTCAGGGTATAAAATGGAAGACAACATCCTAGAAGAGCATCTGTCACTTGAAATGTTTTAAGGATATGTTCCCATGGACTCCATCTACATTCCAGCCATCTTGAGTTGATTTTTGGGTATTTACACCTAAACAATAAGTGCATTCCTCACCTTTGTAAGATTGTTAGTTACTTTAGTTTTTAGCTCTTATTTATATATTCTAAATGATGCAGATTGTATGTACAATTTAAGATCTATATTTACAAAATTAATTAAAATGATAACTTTAAATTTCATTTGTAATTTTTAGGGTATGCACTAGGGCCATGCTAGAAAAATACATTTATGTTATGTTTTATATAATGAACATTTCTGTATGGGCTGAAGATTGTTAATTTTCATTGGAAATAATTTACAGGAGTTAGTTGACCAAAATGTGGAAATTGGCACATATGAAGAAAGCAGTTCCACTTGCTTCCTTGGGATGGCTCTATCTTGTCCAAGGAATCCCATATGGCCTTCAAGACAAATTCATTCCTGTTCAACTCCGATCACTTGGACTGCAGTATTCAAGGTTAGCAAGCTATTTTATCTGTGCTTAATTTTAACATTTGCTCCATTTATCCTCGTGCCTTTATTTTTTAAACCAGTAAAAAATAACCATGTTCTAACTACAATAAGCCATGATGGAAACCACTTGTTTAATTTTTGATTAGGAAAAACAGCCCAATGTTCATGGTTTATGCCAGTCTTTCAACTACAGACTAATTGTGCAGCACCAGCAGCCAGCTCAATACTATGTAACCACTGTAACCTCCATCATTCATAGCCTCATATGGGGTATATAGAAGGTTTCAGTGTTTTTCCACCACTTCTCTTATCATCACTGCTCTTTTTTTAGTTACACACACACAAACACACTCCATGATCTGCTTCCATGTACTAGTGGCTTTACAAGAATGTAATTACTATGCTATGTATCCTCACAATCCCAATGTACCTTCTTGTATATATATAAATAAATAAATAAATAAATAAATGTCAGAAATACAGTAATATTAATGTAGTACCAGTGCTATGCTTCTCTTCCAGCCACTCATACTCCCCCCAGGCCTGATCACATTTCTCTAATAACTGGCCTTCTTATTCACTGTAATGAAGATCATCTTACCCTTGCCTGATTTAATCATTCTACTCTTACCAGACGACATAACTTCAACCTATAAAGAATTATACAGATGACCATCTGCTTTCTGGACACCTCCAGACTGAGACTGGCCAGAAAACCTGATGTTTTCACAAAGATAGTTTGTCATCCTGAAAATCTAAGGAAATTTTTGTTTTCTCACCACTATGAGAAGTTCTGATTTGCTTGCAATGTTGAAGACTATTGATGATGGTACACAGTTATTAGATGATATGGGAGGTGGATGTTTATGGTATGAGGGTGTCTGAAGGGAAGATTGAAGGTGAGGGAGTACCCTTAGGTGTTGAAGTTCTTGTGTCTTCATGTGATGGATTTTGGTTGTCAGGGACAGGAAGCCTGTTCTTAGGTTTAACAACATTCCCCTTGGCTAGTTACAGACCTTCCCAGTATGTAACCCACAACATTTGTCTAATACTCAGGTACCTATTGACTGGTAGGTGAACAGAAGCATCAGGTTTAAGGAAACATTATGCAAATGCTTCTGTCCTGCCATGGTTTGAACTTGGTTGTGAGCTGGTTTTCATAGACCTTAAAAAACCATCTTAAATTGAAAGTTGTTTCATGTCCTGTGTTAGTGTGAGCAAAAAACTGCACATACATTCCATTCACCTGGGCTCTAGGAGACTCAAGCCACAGACCTCATGCATGTGAGGCTAAAGCTTTATCGAGCTTGTTTATTTATGTTTATGAATGTTTATTTCCATGGATGCATATGCATGTTATACAAGTTCATCATCTTCTAAATGCCAAAATCACTGTGACCTGTTTTCATTTCTTCCTCCTGGTCTTCTTCCCTCCTCCTATGTATTCTCTTACACCTGATGTCTCTGTTTGCCTAGCAGTAAATAGTTACTTCTGAGTTACGTGACTGTTGTCATCCTGGGAAAGATCAGGAATTGGTTAAGGCCCCCCCACCCCCCTTCCCATGCTTAATAATAATAATAATAATAATAATAATAATAATTTATTTAGGAACAGTACATACATAGTTGCAACATTGCAGTACAAACATTCTGTTAGATTTAAAGATAGAGGTAGTACATACAATACCTAAAGCCACTAGTACGCATAGCGTTTCGGGCAAGGAGAGGTGGGGGATAAAAATACTTAGACTAAAACTTAATAGTAATTGAGCTTAAAGTATAAATTGTGTTGAATGAAAAAAAATAATAAAAGATAAAAAAAAGGGAGAACATGGTAGAAAATAGCCAATATACAAATTGGTCAACAAACAGCATATTTTTTTTTTTTTTTTAATAGTAAGACGTGGGTTGACATTTAGAAGTGAGGTAGGTTACATGGAGTTAATTAGGTAGTATTTAGTTTTCATCTTAATACTTTGTTTATACAAATTTGTAACAAAGTAGATGGCAAACTCCTTGGCGCTCTCATCGATCGCAAGCTGAATTTCCCGCACCCGACCGCAAGCTGAATTTCCAGCTTAATACGATTCCTTTCCCTGGCAATATATATATAAAACAAATTCACAGCATTAGGCAGAACTGCATTAGCTTCATTCATACTCATCACACTTCAGAATCCTTCTTTATTAACTCTTATTATATGCTTACCCCCAAGATTAAAAATGGCCACATACACCTTATAATCTTTCTTACATGCCTTCTCTGTAAGCTATAGCTATAGCATAAGTAAGCTATAGCAGTGGAAATATTTAATCTCCAAACCCTTTTCCGTCTTGGAAACAACTTTTAATCCTTTCCTCAAATGTACTCTTTTTCAGTGTTTCCTTATTAAAAATACTATTAGTGCCTTGGATTGCTAAAGGCTTATGGGCACCCATAGTGGAGGTATGGGGTGGGAGACATCGCTGGCTGGTGTGCTCCCTTCTCGCCCTAGCTGGGTCTTCTTATGCAGGTACATGTTCGTTGCATTTTACACTTGTTTTTATAAAATCTTGATTTATTCTTGACAGTTTCAGGATCAGGGTAGACCTTATAATAATTATTTAATGCACTCGTGTACATGATGCAGATCCTAGTTTGCTGAAGATCCCTTTGACAGAAAAGCTTAAGGAAAATCTACAAATTATTATGTGAGAAAAGTATTTGATCACTCAGTATTCCATTTTTATATATAGTCTATAATTACATTTCAATTTTGTGACAGTATGGCTATAGGTATGCACAGGTGCACACCATTTAGCATAATAAGTGTGTATTCAACACTATACTCAAGCACAGTGCTCCATTGTGAATTCAGAGAAAAATGGGGATGACTTTCAACACATCAAATTTACACTCAAGTTTTAATGTCATTTTTATCATCTTTCCAATGAGACCACATTTTCAGTATCATTAAAGCAATTAAGGATTACCATCTTCAACTGTGGGATGATTTATGCACTGTATTTATATTAGATTTGTGCTCTGATGAATTAACTTTAATTTCATATTACAGTATTGTGACCTTTATAGGTCAAGAGCATGGAGAGATTTTCAGCCAATGTTAAATATCTTATTAATAATAAAATAATAATAATTCATTGTGTTGGGGACAGGCAACCAGTGTACAGATATATGTTAGGCTTATATCGATGTTCCCCCCTCCCCAAGATTGCAACCCTCCCCAGGATGCAACCCCACAACAAGCTGACTAATTCTTGAGTACCAATTTACTGCTGGGCGAAAAGGGGCATTCGGTGAAAGGAAACACGCCCAACCTTTCTGTCCCATTTGGGTTTCAACCCCAAATTCTCGATTGAGAGTTCAGAACAAATCCAACTGTAATACCTGTCTGGTAATATTGTTCGACAGCAATCAGAACAACATAAAGGGCTTCACTTTTTTTATGAAAGCAACTAACAGGAAGTGTTTAATTTTGCTTGAGACTTGTGGACACGGAAAATTAAGTACACTTTGTGTTGTGTATAATTTTTACAGTTGTGTTAATAATGGTGTACCACATGATGATGAAGCATTTCACAGTTTTAACTCTGATCTCAAATGCAAATTCTGTACTGTATCCTCAACTTGTTGTTGAATCCTTTCAATCCATTAACTTTTTATTTGATCTGCCAGGTTCGTATATTGCCCCAGATGATGTGTTGAGCATAGGATGTATGTTGCTGGCTCTTAATGTATTCTCTGCTGTGCAAGATGTTGCAGTTGACGGATTAGCTCTTCAAGTACTTACTCAAGATCAACTTGGGCTGGGAAACACCATTCAAGTATGTATCAGAGATAAATTACTCTTAATTCTGAACTGTATTACTCTTAATTTTAATTTGATTTCTAATTAGCATATTGCTAATGCACATGTTGCATTCAAGCATTTACATTCTTAGGGAGAAATGGTTCTTCTCTCTATTTTAGGGAGAAAATCATTAGTAATTATGGCTACAGTATATTGATCATTTATTGTTGTTGTGTTGCTTGCTATGTATTGTCCAGTAGTTGTGTTGCTTGCTATGTATTGTCCTGTAGTTGTGTTGTATGCTATGTATTGTCCAGTAGTAGTTGTGTTCCATGCTATGTATTGTCCAGTATTGTTGTGTTGTATGCTATGTATTATAATAAATAATACTAATTCATTGTGTCAGGAGACAGGACGCCAGATTATTCATACTCGTTAGGCTTATATTGAGGTCCCCCCTCTCAGGTTGAATTACTGACACCACCCACGATGCAACTCCAGAACAAGCTGACTAACTCCTGAGTACAGTACCCACTTACTGCTAGGTAAACAGAGACATTAAGTGAAAGGAAATGTGCCCAACCATTTCTGTCCTGCCTGGGTTTGAACCCGGAATTCTTGATTGTGCTTTGAGAACGAACCTGACTGTACTACCGGGACCCCGTACCGGGACCCCCCCATACCTACCGTATTGTCCAGTAGTTGTGTTACATGCTATGTTTTGTCAAGTAGTTGTGTTGCATGCTAGGTATTGTCCAGTAGTTTTTCTGGTATATGCTGTAATTACCTAGGTGTAATTACCTAAGTGTAGTTACAGGATAAGAGCTACGTTCGTGGTGTCCCGTCTTCCCAGCACTCAGTCATATAACGCTTTGAAACTACTGGTTGGTTTTGGCCTTCACCACCTTCTCATTTAACTTGTTCCAACTGTCTACCACTCTGTTTGCGAAAGTGAATTTTCTTATATTTCTTCGGCATCTTTGTTTAGTTAGCTTAAATCTATGACTTCTTGTTCTTTAAGTTCCAAGTCTCAGGAAATCTTCCCTGTCAATTTTATCGATTCCTGTTATCGTCAATTTTATCGATTATCGATTTTGTATGTAGTAATCATATCACCTCTTTTTCTTCTGTCTTCTAGTTTTGCCATATTTAATGCCTCTAACCTCTCCTCGTAGCTCTTGCCCTTCAGTTCTGGGAGCCACTTAGTAGCATGTCTTTGCACCTTTCCCAGTTTGTTGATGTGCTTCTTAAGATATGGGCACCACACAACTGCTGCATATTCTAGCTTTGGCCTAACAAAAGTCGTGAACAATTTCTTTGGTATTTCGCCATCCATGTATTTAAAAGCAATTCTGAAGTTAGAAAGCGTGGCATAGGCTCCTCGCACAACGTTTTTTATGTGGTCCTCAGGTGATAGCTTTTTATCTAGAAGCAGCCAGTTGTGATAATTTACATAATTTACTTTTTCATTTATGAATTCTGTTTCCATTTATCGCCAACACCAATCCATGTTACCGTTAATAATTTTTTGCTATTGGTACTTAATCTGTAGGAGCGAGTCATTAAGCACCCATTGCCAGAGTGTATTACACCATTTGCATGTGGACTTCCAATGAAATAGGACTTTATTTGCATTAGGATGTGACTGAAGAGTTGTTATTTTTATTTTGACAAAAGTCCAAGAAAATATCAGTGTAAGGCAGTTGAGAATATTGTTCTAATAATGCTTTTCCTTCTTAACAGGTGGTCCTTTACAAAGTGGGTTGCTTTGTGGGCGGTGCAGGACTTACCCACCTGCTGGTTATTACAGATTGGACGATAACCTTCACTATCTTAGCTTTTTTATATTTCTGTACTGCGGTTTGGGCTACATACCTGCCCAATAAAAGTATCATACCAGGGGCCTGCTGTAAACAAGATACAAAAGATGATAGCTGTTCCAATAATACGTATTCTAAAAGAGAGAGGCTTGCTTATCCCACAAAGGAATGTACTGGGCAAGATTACGCTATGAAGAAAAATACTGGACAGGATCGTACCACGAAGGAAAATACTGAGCAGGATCCTGCCTCTGCGTTGTCTTTGCATAGCCAAGGTGATCCACAAACAAAACAAGTATTTTCTATTTTAAAGGAAGTCATTAATACTCCAGGTACACTTTGGTTAAGTGTTTATGTTTTGCTGTATAAAATGGGTGAGAGAGGGGCCATAAACAACATGCCATTATATCTACTAGATAAAGGTTTATCCAAACAAAGTTTAGCCTTTTGGAATGGAACTGTTTGTCAGGGGCTTTCAATAATAGGGTCATTTTATGGGGGTATTGTTTTGTTAAAACCAAATGTTAACAATAAGACTATGTTAATTAAACATTCCACTTATAGACTAGTTTCTGTTATGATACAGTATCTTGTGATAATATTTTTTGAGCTTTTTAGAAATTTCAATACATCTGTTTTACATTCCATAGGCATTGTATCTTTATGTTCAATTAGCTACAGTAGTGGAGTGATATCCACAGCATCATTTACACTTATGATGACAGTCAGCAGAGAGTGCAGTGTGTCCACACAAGCAAGTCATTATAGCGCACTGGCTTCTGTTGAGGTTGCTGGGAAACTGCTTTTCGCAACACTTGCCGGTTTTATTATTGATTATGTTGGGATGTCATGGACATTTGCATTACTAATAATCTTGTGTACAATTCCTTTAATAGTTTTAAAAGCTATGCCTGAAAAGCTGTGTCATTTAAAAGAAGAATAATAGTGTATTTTTCTTACTATTTTCATTAATGTGTTGCAATGTTTTAAAATGTGGATGTTATGTCAATTTCAGATAGAGGTCTTCTTTTGTCATTATTATAAAGAGATTTAAATATGAAGGACATAGCTAGTCATAAATTAAATGCACATTGTGAATGAAATGGCATATGATGAATTATTCAATATAGTAATGGCTAAACTACAATAATTTTTTAGTTTATGGAATAATATATTAACTAAATACAACATGCTGTAGTATTATGTACATCATATATTATTTAATATACAGTATATATAAAACGGGTAAATTTATTACGTATCCATTATTATTCTTCTGTCCTAAATAAAGGAAGGGATTAAAAATATTTAATTTACATTCTCTAAGAAGGCAAATGGTAAGGGGTGGCATAATTGAAATAATACAAATTAATAGGAGACTAAATATAACACAAAACAGTGGATACAAACGGGTTAAGTTCAGATTTAGAAAAATGTTGCTAAATGTTTGTTTGGGAATTGAGATGTACTGTATATTTATGGAATAAATTACTTGCAGCAGGCTTGTTTTTATCAAACGTACTGCATTATTTTATTAATAACTAAAATCTTTCTACAAGATATCCTCGGTAAACTTTAATGTTATTTCAATAAATTTCTAGTTCACTATAGTTTTATTGTGTAGATACGAATAATATAGTTGCAATTCCCCGGGTAGCTGGTGGAGAAAGTACTCAATGCCAGATGTAGGCTCATGCATTGGGTCCAAGGGCAGCTACAAAGCAGGAGAGAAAAGGAATGTTGTTGTTGAAGAATCACATAAATATGCCCTTCAAGCTTGTATTGGGGAAGTTCAATCAGGTTAACTGGTTTGTTGCCTTTATTTGTTACCTACATATAGATTTAGATATCATTTCAGTGTATTTAGACCCACCATCATATTGCAACTTTCCTGCATCCACCTCGGCCACCACTAGCAAAACCCCTGAAATAGCACTGTCTACATCACAGTTACTGTCACCACCTTCCACCCAAGGTGTTTAACATTTCATGCTGCAGACAGACTGCTTGTAGCTCATGATTTTGTTAAATTATTCAGGCAACACTTATTTTTCTATGCTCACGCAACTTGTAGTACAGTGAACACTTAAAAATAAACCCGTGCCTCTATTGTTAGTCAGGACACACGTTTGTAGATGGATCATAAGAGAAACACCTGTCTGGTCCCTTGAAATACAGTCTGTAGTTGATATACACTTTTGCAGAGAATTTACTGTGATTTTCCACCATGGCAGCTATCTTGCCATGTTGGTGCATCTTGTGTGTTTCGCACAACCAAAGCTGGCTCTGTTCATGAGTTCCATATGGTATCTGGTAGGGTCTTTCTTGCCAAATTGATTACTGTTTTAGAGCCTGACTAAATGTTGTCTGTGGCCATTTACAATTAATGTATTTGCTGTGCATAGAGATACATTTCCACGTTTTTCTTTAGCTGGAAGTTGAGATTGCCAAGGAAGTTGTGGCTCTCAAGAGGAAGCATGCTTCAGATTGAGTGAGGTCCACCTGAATTAACTGCCTAGTCGAGCAGGCATTGAGAAGTTGGCACAACTATTGGTTCTTTGTGTGCCATCAGTTGGCTCTCATGGGAGGTGGGGGATATGAAAGTTTTCCTCTTTATGTCATTGTGTGACTCACTTTTTCATCCTCTGAAGTTCCTTTGGTGGGCAATCAAGTCCACAAATCTTGCTTGTGGAAGTCCATTGGCCAGGTGGGCACCCCTTGTAAAAAAATAAATTAACATGTATGATTAGGAAGGAAATTTAGAAAATGTTATACAATAATTTGGTGACAGTGATGAAAGGCATAGGACTATATTTTTAGCATATCAAATTTACAATTACAGCAAAACGCAAAAGTTTTTTGGATGAGGAATTGTGGGTGAAATTTGTTAACAATGTTAAGTAGATACTTTTAGTTTCTCTTTTACACTGGCTGGGAGACATACTGCTTTAAATCACATTTGGGTGGTCATACCACAATTTGGGACCTTTGATTTGCATAGCATTTCTGCTTTGGTCGAGTCTCATTCTAGGAATATAAAAAAGATACGTTTCTCGTGTGGTACCTATGGGTTCCCTTACAATCTTCTAGGAAGCACTTAAGGTAAGGATTAGCACTGCAGTACAGAGTTTCATACATACAGAGCAAACATGAGAAGATGTACAGTACAGTACTTGATACTCAACATATTCAAAGATTTTAGTAAGTTAACTAAATGTTTGGGACTGGAGTTAGTTATGTTGAGAAGTTAGGAGTCAAAGGTAATTTGGGATTGTAGATTCCCAGGCACAGGTACCATAGGTGAGATATGGATAGATGAGGGAATAACAGAGTTGGCGGGGACAGGGCGGGGTATGTAGTATCTGATTTTGGACAAGAAAGATAGTTTACCTTATGTGATAAACTCAGTAGCTGATAGCAAAAATTGAGAAGTGGGTAGAGGCATATATAGCTTAAGGACACTGGAGGTTGGAGAAGAATTAAAGGGGCTAGGCAACATTAGGGTTAACTAAACTGTGGCACTGATATGGTCAAGTTCTGATAGACCACATTGGGAGAGGAATTTGAGGTTTTCCTCATTTGATATTACAAAAAAATTTCTGTTCTAGATTACCTCACATTTATTATCCCATCAACATCAAAGGCCTAAGACTTTTCAACACTTCTACACATATAGAACATATGTGTAGAAGGAGAATTGTTAAATTCTCCTACACATTGTTAAATTTAAAGTTAAATTGTTAAATTTAAATTTGTGAGAGATCAGCCAGTAATGGATTGCCAGTAATGGCAATCCATTACTGGCTGATCTCTCACAATGTTCAAAAGAGAACTCAACAAGCATCTTCAAGCCTGATCAACCAGGCTGTAATTCATACATCTGGATGTCAGGTGCATCAAACAGCCTGGTTGATCAGACCAGCAACCAGGAGGCCTGGTCAGAGACTGGGCTGCAGGGACGTTGATCCTCGAAATCATCAACAGGTTGGTAGCACTGATGGATCTTTCCTTGGTTTTGCTTTAGGACTTGACACAGACGGTAGAAGAGTTCCTGCCCCATTCTTGATCAAGAACTATTGATGTAAACAACTTTGTTGGTTTCTGCAGATTGGACAAGATCAGATTTTATACAGCAGCTAGCTAGTTTGAAGCGAATTTTCCTCTGATTTGGACCAGTTCATTTTTTTTTACCAACTCTATATGCAGCAATGTTGTTAGATTTGTTGATTTTGTATGTCAGCTGGTCTTTTAGCATGTCATGTACGATGTAAACACATATGTCACCTTTAACTTTCCTCAGGTAAAGCTGAGGATGCCACGATAACAGTTTTTTGCTGGTCAATTCATCTTGGGAGATTGTTTACTGAGAGTTTAGGTTACTGATGTACTTTTGCATTTTTCATGTGCTCATTATATTTTTTGATGGAAATATTGACTTTCCGATGATAAATTTAATCTGTACATGGTACCGACCCTGTTTCTTGGCATCCCCCATTGGAAGTGTGGGGCACTGAGGGTTCCATCTGCACTCTACTTATATTTGCCTGTTTGAAACTATTGACATCACTATCAACTACACCGAGACCACAACACCCCTCTAATTCTGTTTTATAGAACATATGGAAAAAATACACTCTTGTCTTCATAGAAATGTAATAAAACTGGAGAAAAATAAAAAGTTGCACACAAGGTTTTTTGCTTTTTATCCCATTTATTCTGCAGATCCAAAAACAGTATGTCCAAATCAGAAGTGCTGCACTGAAAAGATTAATTAGCATCCTTACGTTATCCAGAGCTAATTTTTTTTATATAATAATTCCGAGGGGTATATTGATGTTGAAGGTAACTATTGTCAGACCTAAATGCACCTTGTAACCTACAAGGTACGTACTTACCTTGTAGGTTACTTTGTTTTTACTCTTATTTCCACATTTACGTTATTTCGGAGTACAATGCCAGTTGCCCACTGGGCTTGCTGACCAAATTCCACTCTGCTGCCACACCAGTCACGACCAACATATTCTTCTGTTGTTATTTGTGTTTTTCTCTGTGGCTACCAGCCGCTCTGGTTACTTCCACACCTACTGAGTTACACCTGACTCTTTTGAGTCACTAAAAAGCCGTCCGGGGACCAGCAAAAACCTGACCCCCCCCATACTGAGGCGCAGAAAGCCACTAAAAATAGTGTGCAACAAAACAGACAACTTCAAGACAAATTCCAACAACTTAGAAAACAAGTCACTTGCAGTTAGGTCGTTCACCCTTGGCAGTAGCTGCTCACCACTAGGAGTTCATGGAGCAGCCTGTGTCACTGCCCAGTCATTCACTTGGTGCAGCAACTGTCGTTACTGATTTATGAAGATGAAGCCACTAAGAGATGGCGTGGGCGTAAGTGTCGTTACTGCTCCTGGAGTCTCCTTAAGCAAAAAGCCCTTGTGAGTCTCAAATTCTTTTAACTGTTAAGTATTAACCGTCTTTTTGGCGGCGGCCATTTGCTTGAGTTTCATTTTTCTTTTAATATTTGCTTCATAAGCGAGTGTTTATAAGCCCTCTTGTGTGACTTAAGAATATCTGTTAATCTCAAGCTACGTGTGTTTAGGGTTGCTTTCCTAGGTGCTCGCTGGTGTTGCCCCTGACCTTACAGGGTTACCTTCCCTGGCGGGTTCAGGTGTCCGTCTCTGAGGTAGTGCCTGCACAGTCATGTGACTCTGTGATGCTTAGGGTTGAGGGCGGTCTCTTTGGGGTGCACATGATTTGCGTGCTCATGTTGCGGCACGCCATTTACGCCTTTTGCAGCTGCGTGTTTTCTAAGACTATTCTTCACAGCAAACGGCTCCGGTGACTGGTGTCCCTATTTGGTCTTTACCCTCAGGGCCTGGTAACCCCCCAATCCCCTCGTGATCTTTGGTGTGGTTTGGGATGAACCTGCACTCGCTGGCTGAGAGTTTGAAAATACTTTTCGGTTGTGCTACATGCCGACAGTAATTCTTACTGCCAACGTCATGCCGCCTCTTGCATGAGTGAGTGATACTGTTGCACTTCGAGGCCCGTAACCTCTGTGAGGTCACAGGATACTGTGAGGCACTTTTCAGTGGGGTGTGATATTGGCGTGGATCCTTCCTTGCAGGGAATGGGGGTGGGGGGGGGGGGGTGGAGGCCTTTTTGTTTTTTCCGGAGTCTGATGCAGAATATGGCTCTGCCCCGGGTTCTTCCTTTGGTGCCAAGGCTGGGGAGGGCTCGGGGAGAAGGCCCGGCCACAATAACTTACTGACCAACCAGCTAGTTTGGTGTTGGTTTAGGGTCTATCAACCTCTGGAGGGTTATTAAGGTCACCACAGTCCCAGAAGTAGTCCCAGAACTGAAATTGAAATTGAAATTGAAATAAGTTTATTGAGGTAAAATACACACAAAAGGTAATAGCTCAAGCTATTCTCACCCCGTTCAGTACATCGTGTTAATACATACATAGACACACATCACAAGCAATAAACGTATTACCG